ACAACAAAAGAATAGCAATAGTAATAATAATGATAACAGTAATAATAATAACAATAGTAGTAATAGTAATAACAGTAATAATAATATTAATAGTAATAATAATAATAGTAATAATAACAATAATAGCAATAATAGTAATAATAGGAATAAAAGTGATAACAGTAATAATAGTGATAATAATAATAATAGTAATAATAGTAATAATGATGAGAAGGACGATAATGGTACTGACAGTTTGCTGATTGGGTTCAGGATAAGACAGGTGGTACTGATCATGATGGTACATCATTCCGGAGGTACTCAGAATCACCACCTAGTCGGGGAGCCTGATGGGGTCAGGAAGGGATCTGGAGGGAAGGGCCAAGGCTAGGAAGCCGGGACAGGCCTCTTCATGGACTCATAGACTTGTTCGTGGTCACCATAAAAGACTCCAACTTGTACCCCTGGGTTGTGCCCCTAGACTCTAGGCTCCCTAGACATGGGAGTCAAGGAACGTGTAGGGTAGATAAAGGGCACCTTCATTTTCCTATTAGAAATCTTTTCTGATTAAGATTGTGGGGTTGTTCTTTTGCCTTTTAGAAGCTGTGAGAGCGGTTAAACATCGATGCCCCAGCATATCACTGGAAACGACAGTGCTGGCAGGAACACTCCACATAGAGCACATGCTGCAACGATATCTAAAGTCATTGTAGTACGAATTTCTGATCGCAGACCAGTGGACCAGATGAAGACCAGGCAATACTCAGCCACTTCAGACTTTTTTCGCATTCCCCATTGGGGCCTAGAACGCAGCAATGGTAAGAATGAGTGAAACCTCACGCCCATGGAGGGATCCATCTACATGCTGCTGACCGTCAGATGCCGAGTGGAACAAAAGCCTACACCACAGACCCTAAGCGTCACCGAATCCAGCCCTTTACCCAAATCCGAACCAAGAAAGCGTCTGAAGTCCCAAGCTGAGAAAACCCAAGTTTCCGGGCTTACGCCCCAAACCTGCAAGTCCCAAAAGGCAAGCTGCATCAAAACTGGCCTCCCGGGCCCCAATCTGCAGCCCAACTGCCTGGTGGCCAGGGTTTAGGGTTCGTGTTTGGGGTTGATATAGCTTATGCCATTCCAGTTTGGGATTTCTCCAAACAAGAAACCCGATGAGTCCTGCAAATTTCTGGATGTTAGGGGTCCTCTGCGGGATGATGTTGGGTCCGCGGACCATGGTTAAACAGCTACAGTCAGAGATATAATTGAATCCCAGCTTGGTAGTTGGATTCAAGATATTGTTATGCAGGCCCCAGGCCGGGATAAACGATCCCAATTTTCGTATGACATCCGGGAGTGGCAGCTCCTGCACATGGCAGCTTCTTCGAGCCACTCAATTCCTTCAGTCAAAATATGTTCGTATCACAACAACCTAAGGGTTTCTCTCGGAACATTCATCTCTTGTAGGCGCCAAGCTGTGAACCCTGGGCATTTCCAGAAACAACTTCCTGACAGGTATCCCGAGGGAGAGGGATAGTCCATTGTAACCCCTCACCAAGCCAAGGCGCTAAATACCGAGCCCCTTTCAAACCTTTTTCTGGCTTAGGGTTGGGTTGCCGTTTTTCCCACTCCTTCCACTCTCTCGGTCATAACCACCCTGAATCTGTTGCTATCGATTTCGCTTATGCTGCACCTTACACCTCAAAATCTTCCTTCATTCATACCACCCTCAAGCCTAGGATCCCTACGGATCTTTTTTTCCGCCCTGGGCCCCTTTAAAGGGGTATATAGGGGCATATAGGGATATTACCCCTACAATGGAGAATCATATGGAAAATGAAACTGCTACTGGCATTATATAGTGTGGTTGGGGGAGTTGCTCAGGATGGTCCTACCCTAAATCCCAGGCCCTAAATCCTAAACCCTAAATCCTAAACCCTGAACCCTAAACACTGAATCCTAAAATCCTAAACCTGAACCCTCAATGACCCTAAACCCTAAATCCTAAACCGTAAACCCTGAACCCTAAATCCTAAGCCCTGAACCCTAAACCCCAAAATCCTAAGCCCGAAACCCTATCTTGGAAAGCAAGTAGAGAGCTCGCCTTGCGCCCATACGCGCGAGACTTCCAGAAGCCTTTGCGCGAAAAGCGGATGGGAGGAAGATTTGAAGGTTTCCCAAAATTAGGCTTTTTGGGGGGTCCCCATTATAAGGACTGTAGCATTTTGGGGTCTACATTGGGGTCCCTCTATGTGGGGGAAAGTACCATTTCTTTCATAAAATGAATGCTCACATAACCCCCATATGTGGGGGTCCCTAAACCACCCAGCACCCCACAAGTCCCACAAGAAACTAGCATTTTGTGGGACTCTTCGCCCTGTGGTTTAGGCTGGGTTAAGGTAAACTTCAAATAGCCAGGGCATGAATATTGGATGTGGGCGCCATCATCTGGACGACACAGCCCGAATAAGGATATGGCTATGGCAGGGCAAAGCAAGGAGCGCTTTAGAGATTTGAGCTATCATGATCAGGTCTAGATGTGATTATTAAGAGATTGTGCGCAAGCACGCACCATGCCCCCGGGCTGTTGTTTTGAGACGAGACCAACGTCAGGCCGAGAACCCCGTCAAGGACCACAATAGGAGGGTCGCAGACGTCCAACACCCTTTTGCATAATTTGCATTGATGCGGGGTCTAGTTTTTCCATCATCTTAGAGCGGCCATATACTGTCAATAAGCTTAGGGCCTGGCTCAGACTCGTCAGCCAGCCTCTCGCTTCGCTGCTCCTTGGACAAGGTGGCAGGTTCAGCATTGTAAGTTGCAGGAGAATGTACGCGCTATAGAGGGGTCTTAGGACATGTTGGTGGCGCGCAGATGAGGCATTTAAGAATTAGGGATTTGGAGTTGGAGTTCTGGATCGGGACTGAGAATTAGGACTTGAGGCTTAGGATTTTGTTGTCGAGTTTGAAGTGTTTGTGCTTGGGGTATACGACTTAAAGGCTAGCAGCTAAAGCATCTGAATCTGAACCCCTCTTTGCTATTGATTATATACTCATATTAAGACGCGTAGGCGTAGGGGTACACAGGGGATTTAACCGTGGCATATGCCCTTCCTCCGCCAGCACTGCAACACGAACCCCAGCCTCTAAAAGCCCAGCACGCCCAAAACCTAAACCCCAAACCTTCGGCCTCCCCTATCCCCCTGAACCCAGACCTAAACCCCAAAACCCCAACCGCCCAACCCCATAAACCTTAAAACCCTACATCTGCTCCAATACGGGCCTCGATCTCTTCGCAGACTTCCGCATCCTCGTCGCAGCTCGGGGGCTCCACGCGCATGGTGGCATGGAATGCCTTGGTGAACTCGGACTTTTGGTCCCCTTTTTCGGTTTGCAATGTGAGCGATCGTCTAAACTCCGGGTATGCCCCTTAATAGCCCCTATAGAAGTCCCCCTCATGTAGGGTTTACAGGTTTAGGGGTTAAGGTTTAGGACTTCAGATTTGTAGTTTCGGGCTTGGGTTAAAGATCTTGGGTTGAACAATTTTGGGTTCACCGCTAGGGCTTAGGATTTATGATTTAAGGTTTAGGACTTGTGATCTACATCTAGGGCTCTAGGGCTTCGGAGTCAAGGTTTAGGGTTCAGACTTCAGAGTTTGCGGCTGAGGAATTTAGGATTTGGGTTTAGAATTTAAAGGTTTCAGGCTTGGGCTTTAGGATTCAGGGTCAAGGGCTCAAGGTTTATAAGGCTCAGGAGTCAGGATCTAATGTTTAGTAGGTTCACGGTCTAGATGTTGCCCAAAAACCGTGGCAGGAAGATGTTGGAGGATTTGTGTAAAAAGAAAATCGAGGAAATGCTGCCAAGAAATCAAACCAAACCTAACGGCAGGCACGTCGGGTGTTCTAGACTTTTTGGAATCTGGGACGTAGATTGTACATGAACATGCCCTTGAGATGTGGAGTGCTGAAAGCTTTGGCAGGCTTCAGAAGAAGAATCTAACAATGGGAGCTGTGGGTTTAGGGCATCGTGCTTCCGATGCAGAGCATCAGAGGTTTGTGCCTTGAACCCTTGTGTACACACTGCTGGGTTTCGGATTCGAATCTCGATTTAGTACAGGCTTGGTGACTGAAGACATCTAGCCGGAAGGTAAAGGAAGGCCACCAATACATAGATGAATCCAAGTTTTCTAGAAAGTTCCATTCTGAGTGTTCAGGTGGAAAATCCAGCAGCAGATCTTGCACCCGGAGTTTGGACAATGAAGGGCCTTCAAATGCTGACATGCCATCCTATAAACTTTGAAGACCTAAAGGTTTCCACGTTCTTTTGTATTCTCCTATACACTCATATCTAACAACTTGTGTTTTAAAACCAAGGGGATCCGTAAAGCCCTTGACCAAGCTTGACCAACCTCAGATCCTCCAGGCAAAAGCCTGGCCGTGAAAGCCTCATTGGAATCCCCCTGAATGCCAGTTACCACGATGATTAATAGGACTTGTAATAAGGCCCTTAAAGAGTAAGTAAGACTTCTTTAAGGCCAGTTACTGTGAGGGCGAATGACCCAGATCTCATGTAGGACTCCTACACACCGTATTAGGGGGGTTTATAAACCGGGGTTCTCAATACAAACCCATATACTATAATTATCATCTTTACGATATTGACTTCCAAAAAGCCCACCCTTTGGCCAAACTCCAATAGAAGCTAATCAAGCGCAGGCAGAAGAGCTTTTCACTAATGCATTCAGCATAGGCCGTGAGGCATTTTCGCCCGACACGGCAATAAATTCTGGGATGGGCAACTCGCACGAGGCCAAGAGTCGAAACAAACCAGCTCTAAACTGCAGGGAATTGTTGGAAGTTGGGATTCGGGGATGGAAACTTTAAGCAAGGCTGAATGAACACTTGCGATGAGAGCGATCCCAACTTAAACCCTGCAACCCCTTTAACCCCAAAACCCTTAGCCGCCTTAGCCCTAGAGCACGCTATGAAATCTACACTTCACACATAAAGCTTCTCGGCATGAGCGTGCTCAGAGCAGGATAGGCGTCTCGGAGGGGCACAGATCCCCAGGGCAGCCAGTCTGCCACTCCGCATAGCATCCCTGTGCCAGGGCGCTGGTTGAGAAGTACTTCCCTCCCAAGAACCCACGCACCCTGGATTTTTGGAACCCCCTTAATCGCGGCCTGGTTGGATGGACAGAAATAACTTGTAGGGCAAGTTGTGCAGCAGGGATTCTTCCCAGGAGGTGGGCAGTTGGATGCACCTCAGCGATGGGCGTTGTAGGACTCTTGTTGCCTTACAGGAAGCTTCTTCACACGAATACCACTAGCAGAGGACACGTGTTTTGCAGCTCAACCACAGATTGGAGCATTGCTATCTGAGGGACAGTTTTGGTGCATAGAGACTTTGCTAGCCTTGCTTCTGAGACAGGTGGCACCGGAACCCTGAGCGTCAGGTGTCACATTTCGGGTGTGCATTCTGCAGCCGCGTACTTCGGCAGGTCATGTTCAAGGCGCTCATTTCGACTTGTGGTTTTGAGCCGGGCCTGGGATTTAGTGGGACACAGCCTGGCACATGCTACCTATCCTGGAGGTCACATTACTCATGAATATAAAAGCAATGATGCGTCTCCAGAACATAATTAAACCGCAAACACTGGTTTTGCCTCATGTTTAAGAACAGCACCTAAAGGACGAAAGGATGGCAACTCCCTTCAGCTTATCTGTGGTGTCTTTCCTTTCCTTCCTGCCCTCTCGCCGACTCTCGCCCTCTCGCACCATGATTCGAGCATGACTCGTGGGCAGGTGTGACAGGTGGAGTTTTTCCGCAGCCCAATCCATAATGACTCACATGGACGAAGCATAACTTCAATGCGATCTAGACTCATTCCAAAACTGATCGCCAAGCCGCTATGGCGGTCAGGAGCCGCGAGCACCGGCGCAGGAGCTGCAGGCGCTGCTGGCGTTGCCGGCAGCGCTGGCGTCGCAAGCGCTGTTGACGCAACAGGTGCCACCGGTGGAGGTGGTTGCAGCAGCGCAGGGGAAGAAGCAGGATCATGGGCTCCTGTCTTCCTGGATCATCAGGCAGGTGGCATTTGGGAGCTGTTGGGTTGAGCACTCTCAAGGTTTTCAAGCGTTGCTGGCGACCTTTTGCACAAGGTGTTCCGTTCAAGTGGGCACAGACCCACCCTCTCAGAGGCAGGCCCAAAAAACTTCTGGCGTCTGAGCTACTCAAAAAGTAGAAGCTCTGCGCCAGGCCCAGCTAGGATTGCACATGAAATCCCAATGTAACCTTTCCGCGTGCACCCGTGAAAACCTTTGAACATGGCTTACGCAGATGACAAAAAGAGCCTTCTGTAATATATCCAGTTTCTCACAGGGTATGGAACTATGATGGGATTATAGGGTTCCCTTCTGCAGGATTGTGTTGCAATTATACAGAGAAACTGCAACTGTCTGATATGTAGCTGCGTCACCGCATAGGTCCCGAAATGGCAAACCTTTAGACCTATCCCTCTCTAACCTCCACCCTCCCTTGTAGACTCTAGGCCCTGGTCCACTTCAAGCTCTAACACAGAAACCTGGTCCACCCCAAGCTCTAACACAGAAAACCCAAACCCCAAACGGACAGGCACCCAAAGATCTTCCAATCTCGCACCACTTAGGATCCCTTTGCTGCTCTATGTCCCAGGACTTGAGGGCCTCCGCCAACTGCATTAGAGCCAAGGCGCAAGGTCAACTCCATTTTTAAGAACTCATGATCGGAGGGGAAGCCCTGAGTGCTGGAGGAGCCGCACAGCCTTATGTGAGAGCTCTTAGAACTAGAAGGGCCCTTGAGAGCCCTAAGAATATGTGAGGACTAATGGGGAGTATGGTTCCCTTTTCAGGATTCTGGAGGGAACATTTTGAGAGTCTCCCATGTTGCTTTAGGGACTAGCGCAGACAGTATGGGAGCTTTGGGCCATGTCTTTTTGGCCTTAAGCCTTGAGGCTTTGGAGATCAAGGGAAGGGTCGATGTAGAATGCTGATGTAACTGTAGAGAAGAAGATGGCCTCTAGGGGACCTGCATGAGCTGGTGCCAGCTGCCTGCAGTCTCAAGAATGCCAGCACCCGAGAACGTCAGCAATAGAAAGTGTATACATCCTCAATCCAGAATGTCATCCTCCTTTGAACGCAAAAACCCAAAATCGAAGGCCTTGACCGAGAGAAAACGACAGTACCAAAGAAGTTCTCGCAGAAAACTCCTCCAGGCTACCTCCGATAATCCTGCAAGTGGTCTGCTCTGAAATCCTCTCTGCTCTCCGGATCTGCTCCACTTTAACCCTCTTTTGGGAGAAGAACCCTTGCCTTCCAAATCTAGTTGGGCAGCTGCACCGACTGATCGATCAAAACGTGATCCGCTCCGTTGAAAGACCTCATTTGCGCGGATTCGGGGATTCAGAGTGCAGCAGGCCCTGAATTGAGAAGCAGTCGCTCTAGTGCTTAGGTGTCAAAGGTCTTGGGGGTATGCTTTGAAGTGAACACAACATCCCTGTGTGCGGCCAATCATCTTTCTCGCGGTGTGCGGGGAACTTGTCTCATAGACTTATCCTGCAACATGTGCACCATCTCAAATGGCCTTCGCAGACTAAAGGCCAAGTTCAGGCGCAGGCTTAAACTTCATTTTTCTGGAAGGCTTCAGACAGGCCAGAGCAAACGTTGCCCTGCTAGCGAAAAATCGCTACGACCATTGGGCTAGACACCCTGAGCCTTGCTTGTAAGTTCCGGACCTCAGTTCTGCATTGCAGCTTTTATGTTAGAAAAAACAACACACCCCGAAGTCTAAACCAGAGAATGACAGGCATAAGCTCGGGCAACCAAATGACGGTTCTCCAGCCTCAGTCTAGCATCCTTTCTTCGAGGCCCTTGAAAATCCTTCATCATTGGCAGGTTGGGAATCTTTCTGCTGACTGCTTGCTACTCAAATTCGTATCATGCGTCAATGGCAATCCTCCCTAGGTCGCTGCAAGATCGCCTTTGAGCTGTACGTAGGTGGAAAATCTCCCGCGCAGATTCCTTAACCGGATTTGACTGGGGAAATTTTACAAGTCCTAGCACCTCGCAAAAACCGTTGCAGCAACCCTATACCACATAAAAGGGAATGGCCCAAGACGTACAAAATCAAATGAAAGCCGAAGCCAAAATCCGCTTCATCACTCAAAGCCGTAGTTTCCGAAACCGTAAAGCCTCGTGTCAGAGCATGAAGGCCACTGCTCGTGCGAACTCCAAAACAAGAACTGCAAGACAAACGCGGCCATTCATCTTCCCTGAGAAGAGGTATTGCTATTTTTGAGGTGGGAGTTACAGCCTTGAGGACCCCATGTAACCCTTGTAGGCATTTCACCGCTGTCCAAAACAAATAAATTGGCCCTGAATCGCTCACCTTCCCGTTCACAGCGTCAGCGATTTCCGAAGCTGCCATGGGGCTGGTCCGTAGCGGCATTGGTGAGGCCTTGGCCCAGTATCATCATGGTCTCCTTGCCGTTGCTAAGTGCTAAGTTTGATGGGTCGGGGCTTTAGAAAAGCAGAGGAGCTTGGTTTGCTAGAGCTTCCAAAGATAGAAGGCCCAAGGATTCAAAATATAGTTTTTAGCTCTCTGGGTTCGAAAAGTCGTTGTCCTAGCCTGAATCCCTCGTGCTTGACGGATGGTGGGTAGGAAGTTCCACAGGCACCTGTCAGAAACACTGTGATGTATAAACAATCGCTGCATCTGCGGGCGCGGTGGGGGTTTGGGGGTTAGGGGAAAGGGGTGGGAGGCTCAAAAATGAATCTGTGTAGGCGTTGCTGGCGATTCCCTCCCAAATCCCTCCATGACCCCTGTACCGTCCCTACATAATCCATGGTGATGGGTTGGCTGCATCCTCCATGCTGCCGCAGTTGAAGTCGCCAGTAAACACGACGGCATCGCCCTGCTGCTTGTGCTTGTTCACGGCAGCCTGCTGCTCGAAGGTGGGAATCACAAAGCCAGCCTTGACCCCCCAAACCCTCGAGCCCTGAGCCTTTCAAAACCTGAAAGCAGGAAAGCGGACTTGTCTTATAGTCCCCCTTAAGTAGATAGAATATGGCTTTTGGTATATTACAATAAGATCCCTATATACCCCATATTCTATCTACTTAAGGCGAACTACAAACCAGAACAGTCTTACCTTGATCCGACCTCTTCAGCCCGTGGAGGCATCAACCCCGACGCAGGGGCATGCGCAAGTAGAAAACGGCCGCGTGTGGGTTGATATGTCGTATCGATCTGCCAAGATAATTCTTAATTATGAGCTTCCCATATGAGCTATAGTCTTAACTCCTAATATCCACCTTAATTAAGAAGCCCCACAGTAGGAACCCTTTAGAGTCGCTTATATAACTCCCTTTAAGGAGTTTAGACTATAGCTCATATTGCACTTGCCGGTCCTGGTAGTTGGCCGCTGCCTTTGCGCCAGCCTCACCCGCGCACTGGTTCAGAGGCCCATGCGTATTCGCAAAGAAGATGGACGCGTTCCTTTGTGGAAGGGGTGTAGGGTTTACGGCAAAGTTTTTTTTTTAACCCCTCGGACTCTTTAGGGCAAAGTTTAGGGTTCAGGGTTTAGGGTGGTGGTGCTAGCACCCTACCCCTGGCAACAAAAGCACCTCCGCTGAATGGCGCAGGAGGAAAACAATGTTCTGGTACTGGCAATGGATGAACTTACAAGACTGGGACCCGCAGCTGCTGAAGTGGAGCATTGCTGACAGCGGGTCTGACGCTCAGTGCGCGCGATTATTCTTGCAAAGCGCACGACGTTAGTGAGAAGATGCGCGGGAGATACAAGCAAGCATCCTACTTGAAGAGCCGGCTAGCAATGAGGTTTGCATGTTCGCAAGTAGGGCTCTGTTTGCCTCATGGGTTCTCGCGATTTCAATCACTATGCCGCATGCCCTTCGGACCTGGGAAACGAAAAGAGGAAGCCAACACGCGCCTCCCAGGGTTGTTGCCTATTTGACAACCAAGACAGGTACTGGATTGGAAGGTGTATGTAGGTTGGTTCTGACCCGTCTGTCTGAGCTGACCATAAGAGAGTTCTTCGGGAGTCACTGCAGAAGAGAAAACTCTTATCCGGGGCAAGACAATGCAGGGAAACCCTCAGGCTCCGTCAGGGTTTGTGGGAAACATCTTGGGATCTCTGCGTTGCTTACTAGTGCTGAAGGAGGCATGGATACAAGTAGTATTTACAACTTTTTACAAGTAATGTATGTAGGGAGGATTACATTGGGACCACTGCAGGGATTCACTACTTGACTCCAGCTTGAGCACCAAAATTGAACAAGGCCTGGGTTCGTGTCGCCATCATGAAGCCGGACCCAGTTCATCAGCCTTGCACCATACTTGTCCTACACCCGGAGTGCTTCTGGAGAGGTGAAAGAGTCTTGGACAACCTAACGTGTTGGGGTGTTGGGTGTTGGGCGTGGGGTTTCCTAGTGCTCTGCGCCTCTATCCTGTTTTCGGTGTTATCCGGGTGCTCTCTGCACCTATGCTGTTTGCAGCGTGTTCCTCAGTGCCCTCTACCGCTATTCTGTTTGCAACATGTCTTCCTGGCCGCCCCTCTTCTGGCAGTCAGTCCTACCGCACGGCGCATGTAAGTTCCGGGCTTTTCCTTGTGCACAACTTGCATGTTTGATCGCTCTACACCCTCTTGCAACATCCCTCAAGCCCCAACCCTGCAGCCACAATCCAGGTTGACGTTGGGTTCCACCCCTCTGCTGTCCTCGGCGATATGCTCGCTGCCGGGACCCCCTATCTTCTGGAAGCGCGTGGCATTCCAGGCCTTCTTTGTCAAGGATCAAGGTTTAGGATTCCGGGTTTGAAGATTAAGGTATAGGTTTAGGCCCTGGCGCATGTTGGCAAGGGATTGGCAAAATTATTCACAGAGGGGGTGGAGGTTGGTTGGAGGGTGGTTGCTCCATCCCAGAATTGCAGTAGTTGGGAGCTTTCTAGGTTCTCCTCATCTTTTGAACTAAAGAAGTTTTTGCGGCCATCGAGCTTAGGAGTTTGGAAAGGTCTGGGTTGAAAGGTTGTAGTGCTGGCCCTGACAACCCAATCTTCAGAAGTTAGATGTGTCCGCCACGCTTTACTGCCACGAAATTTGTCTGAGATCATGGCAAACAATGGAGAAGGGGCTGCTGAGACGTGGGCTGCGAAATGTGTATATTACATCAAACTTTCATGAGCTGATCGGAAAATTCGTGCCCCGCAGCAGAAAAAGTGAGCAAACTAATACATGACGCCAAGAAATCAGCTGTCAGACAGAAGACATGCCAAAGAAGGCCCAGTAAAATCAACGTACGCCTGGAAGGTTTGGGTTTGGGGTTGTGCCTTCAGAGTGTTCTGGGGCGTAGGTTTCAGGTTGAAGGTCAAGGATCCCGCAGGCTTTCACCTGGCAGGGCTGAGGCAACACCTCACAGAGGCCGGCCCTTGCCACCTGGATCTCAAACCATTTGGAGACTAACCATCTACTACCTGTGCATTTGAGATGTATAGCTTGATTATAACCCTACTTCTGCTTGGGTAACGGTTATGTAAAGCTGCTTTAACTAACACCAGTCACTGTGCGCCATGAACGTTCAAGTAAATGTTGGACCCCTAAACAAGGTGTCAAGCCCCGGCCCTCGCAAAACAGACATTAAAAAATCTAGCGTGCTCCACCTTCCCACATGGTCAGTTCTGTAGATTTCAAGGTACCAAATGCAATCTGCAGTTGGAAGCCCCAGTCTCCTAAACCCCAAACACTTCAACCCCAAGCTGCCCCAAAGCCATCCTGCTGCCAAGCAGCCAGCGGGGCGTCGCTTCCTGTCGCCACAGCTAGGCGCACAAGCAGCCAATACTCAGAACGAGGTTCTAAGTGTTCTTACACGGATGACTACAGCCCTTGATCCCAGCTATTCCTTTTGGGCCCGGGGTCCAAAAGCAAGCTTGTTTTGGGACCCGTCCACAGAAGAGATCTTTTGTTGAGGATGAGGAAAGCTTCGCTGAGGGCCGCTAAGAGCATAGGGTATCATTTCGATAATGGCGCTGCTGCGCTTCATACAGATATACAGGCCACACATTTCTACGCGCATGGGGGAGATTACCCTACATGCAAACGCGGCTGGTGACCTCTTGTCTTGAAACCAAACCTACTTTTTTATTATGGACCCTGCGGGCAGGATATGAGTTTGAGGCCAGTACATGTGTAGGCTGCTCTGACATCTAGGGGCCCTCGGGAAGAACCTCTCACATTGAGGCGTGATATGCGCTCCACTGTTTGCACCACCCCAACGGAAGGTAGTCGATGAAGCCGTAGTCGTAAGCCCCTGAGCTGCACTGAAACCTGCCTTGTAGGCTTGTCCTCTTCGCAACTCCATACCCCCTTCCCATAATAGCACTCCATCTGTATGTGTGTATATGTACATATATAGACATGTATAAAGTATATGCACCTGTATTTACATTTTTACACAGATAAAGCGACCCGCACGGGGAATATAGCGTTGACATAATTACATCTCTCTGCCCAGCCTTGCGGCGCATAGAAGTCGAAAGATCGGATGCCGGAACCACCCAACACTTGCTGGACATTGTCCTTGGTCGGAAGATTCCTTGTCCTATCGTAGGTGCAGGAAGGGTTTGGGCATGCACATTCCGAACTGTCCCCGACGTCCGAGCATGTGAGACAGCCCGCTAGCTTTAAGCGTGCAAAAAGCAACAGAAGAAAAGGTTTGGGGTTTAGTTCCTCGTTGATCTAAAGATTTGGAGATTGGAAAAGAAACTGGAATTCACTATAAAGGAGAATCAGATGGAAAACAAAATGGAAAGTTGAAGGAAATATACAGCTTATATAGGATGATAAGGACCATGGGTACTTTTCAATCAGGTCTCTAAGGGTTTAAAAGAAAATAGAAGGTACCATAAGATGTAGGCTTCAAAGGATGTTTGGAAGGATTTAGGGAGATAGGGTTTAGGGATTTTGGGTTGAGAGTTTACGGATATTCGCCCAATAACGGAGAATCAAATGCAAATGAAAATGGAAAGCTGAAGGAAATGTACGGCTAATATAGGATGATAAGGACCATGGGTACTTTTCAATCAGGTCTCCAAGGAGTTAAAAGAAAATAGAACGTGTCATAAGATGTAGGCCTCAAAGAATGTCTAGAAGAAATCTCTTGAGGGGTTATCAGGGAGTGGAGGAATGAAAATGACGCCTAAACCCTAAACCCTAAATCCTACAACCTAAACCCTAAATCCTAAACCCTAAACCCAGGGGTTTCGGTTTGCGGGGGAGTGTCCAGAAACCTTGGCAATTCCCAGCATGGAAACATTACTTGGAGGTTCATGGGACGTAGTAATTATTTATAACTGGGGTTATAACCCTACTTACAGTTGGGGTAACCCTATAAGGCCATTTGGGGGGGTTATAAGTAGGGTTATAAGCCCAGTTATAAGTAGTTGCTAAGTCCCATGAACCTTCAAGTACTGTAAACTCCTCCTATGCCCTACTCACAGCGTACGTGAGCGACTCGACGTGCTGTCAATGCCTCAAGCCCTCAACCCCTACACCCAAAAACCCTAAACCCCTAAACCCCTAAACCCTACACCCCAGAAATCCAAACCTCAAGCCTAAGCCTTGGACCCTAAGCCTTGAATCCGAAAAACTGTACAATGGATCTCTAAATTTCTTTTCTGGGTTGCTGTTCGAGAACTTAAAATGAGCTAGTGTAATGAGGAACCCTATTATGTACTATATGCCCACAATGAATAGCATAATTAAAGTTCCTGAACAGCAGCCCAGTTGTTGAACATCAGACCTATGCAATGGATCCCTGGACCTTTTTTGAACCTTATCAAACCCAAAATCCTAGACTCTGAACCTTAAATCCCAAACCCTATCCAACAAACCCGTTTTTTGCACCTCAACCGCGGACCCTAAGCCCTAAACCTTGAATCCTAGACCCTATACAATGAATCCCTTCTTGAACTCTGAATCATATACAATGCATCCCTTTTTCGTACTCTAAACCATATACCTTGAATCCCTTTTTGGAATCCTAAACTTAATATAACCCCTATACAACCCCTATATGATCCCTATATAACCCCTATAATTCCTGTAGTTTCCATGTTTTTTCCATTATCCCTATATGACCCCATGAATCCTTGAACTCGTTTTATGAACCCCGGCCTGAGGGTACAGCAGGAACTGCCCAAAGTCTGCTTCGTCGAAGATGGCTTCGGCCCACCCCTCCGCCACGGCGGTGAGCGTCACGCGGCCCTGAACGCTCCAGGTGTAATGGTTCAGGGATGAGGGTTTAGGGATTAGGGTTTAGGGAGTAGGGTTTAGGGAGTAGGGTTTAGGGAATAGGGTTTGGGGATTAGGGTTTGGGTTAAGGGCATTTGGAGTGTAGGGATTAAGGGTTTAGGGTGTAGAGGTTTGGGTTAGGGGCTTGCGCTTTGGGACTGTCCACTTCCTGCTACTAATCCCCCCAACCCCCTCATAAGGAATCCCGCGTGATAGCACCACTATATGGTTGGGGGAAAATTTGTTCTTAGGAGGGTGGGGAATGTTGTTATACAGGAAGAGGATTACATGATTTGGAGTTTGGGGTTTGGAGCTTTGGGATTTTCTGAAGATGTTCTATCTGAGGGCAACTTGTTTTGAGAACCCCCACATAACATGTGCAGGTACCTCACATCTTCTCACCTCTGACTAAAAAATGGTGGTTCTGTCTCTGCTATTGTTTTTGAACACAGTTCCTGTGACTATGCAAGCATTGCTAATTAGGGCACATGTTTGAGGCCTTCAGGGTTTTTGGGAGCATTCTAAGCTGTTGGCAATGCACACGGACGACTACGATGATGTTGAGACCTATGATGATGCCAGCATGATCTGTGACGCGCGTAACAACTACAATGACTTTGCCCTAAAAAGATAACCCCAACATATACCCTTTTATCGTAGTTTCCATTTCATTTTCCATTATTCCATTATCTCACTATAACCACAACATACACCCCTCTATCGTAGTTTCCATTTCATTTTCCATTATTCCCATTATCCCAATATAACCCCAATACATACCCTTTTATAGTAGTTTCCATTCCATTTTCCATTACTCCCTTATCCCAATATAACCCCAATATACACCCCTTTATTGTAGTTTCCATTTTATTTTACATTATTCCATTATCCCAATATAACCCCAATATAACCCCTATATAACCCCTAAATAACCCTTATATAATCCCAGTTTCCATTTCATTTTCCATTTTCTTTTCCATTTGATTCTCCATTATAGGCCTGAAGCCTCAGGAACTTTCAGCCTGAACGTGGGGTCATCCTGGGCTTCATCCGCAGGTGCCCGGTTTGTACTGAATTTCTGCTTCCCCGCCTCAGGGCGCCGCAAAGGCTGCGCAAACCACTGTTGCTGATTGAGCACTGGGGAAGGGTAGGTAGACAAATTTCACTGAGGCAAAGTATGGATTTGCTACGATGGTAACTAGAAACCCTCTATCCCGGATATGAGACCATTGGGACCTGCAGCAGCTCGCCGTAGTCAAGCGCGGCTCCATCCAGTGCTGCCACCACAAGGCGCCGGGCCTTTAAGGCGCGTTTAATTCAGGATTTAGGGCTTCGTATTTGGGGTTCGGACTGTCGAGAGCTAGGGTTTAGAGTTTAGAGGGCTTAGGGGTCTAGGGTCTAAAGTTCAGGGTGTAGGGCAGAAAGGCTTTCAAAATTAGCCTCTTTACCTCCTTCATTGGGTTCTCATGTTGTTATAACAATGTCCTGCAATCACCCAGTAAACCCATGCCACACCCAAGCCTGGAGGTCGAGCTTCGTCCGCCAGTTCTTGCCTTCTAGGTTTAAGGCTTAGGGCTTAGGATTTAGGGTTTAGGGCTTAGGGCTTAGGGCTTAGGGTTGCTGCTTCTTACTTCTGAGGCGTGTGATTATTGGTTTCGTTTGCGGGTTGGGAAGGAGGGCTGGGGTGAAGGATCTCGAGTAAAGGTGAGGACATCAACGATTTTCTTAAAGTTCCAACCCAGTCCCCCTAAAGGATCCAAAAAATGGAACCCCCTGATAATCCCCTAGTTTCCCCAATGTAGCAATGGGTTCATATTGGGGGGGGTTCCAATTTTTGGATCCTTTAGGGGATCTGGGAAAGGCAGCCTGTTCCGTTCGCACTGCTTGTGTTGCCGGATTTGCAGTTCACGTCGAGTCTCCCTGGATGCTCAGGAAAACTGCCAGGTAGATCAGTAATCGAGAATACTGGGGCCTAGTAAGGAGGTACCTATGGATAGCCTGAATTCAGCAAACTGCACACTGCCTGCACCGGTACGAGACTGTTAGAATTCAAGCTCCAAGACAAGATTCGCAAGAGCGCGTGTAGCAGTGGCGGATCTTGAGGAAGATTGGGAAGGAGCATTTAGGAGTTCGGAGAGGAGGAGACAGAGTAGGCACATGGGGCGCAAGAGGAGGATGCTTTAATATTTGCAGCAGCCCTGGCCGTCACAGTTTCTACTCTGCGCTTGGAGATTTCTGACTTCATTGCAACTGCACTGAAAATCCAGCCTTAAACTATTGCCATTACTACTACTGTTACCATCACTATGACTATTACCTTTCGATATTGGTACCAGCATTACTAATGTTATTATGGTTGTTATTACACGAAGCTCGCCGCCCCCCAGCCAAATCCCTTGCAAAATGCAACCAGGCAGCCGGACAGCTGGACAGCCTGGCCACATGAGCCATCATCTAAAATCTTCAGGGTTTAGGTTTAGGATTTAGGGTGTATCCCCGTATCCTTCTGAATAACCCTCATAGTAATCCCCCCTAAACCCTAAACCCTAAACCCTACACCCGTAGATAAACCCCATATAACCCCCTTTGTGGAGTTTAGACTATGGCTCACATGTCCCAACAAAGGCCGCCGCTATGAAATTGAGGCTTGCTTATGTCAGGGATTCTACTCTCCCTGAAGTAGATAGAATATAGGGTATATGGGCACCTTATGATAATCTACCCAAAGCACTTCAAGGGGACTATAGGCACAATCACTTCTCCTATTTGGTTATTTGCCAACCCTAGCAACTTGGGGAGGCATAACTTCTTCCAACTGCGCGTACGTTGAAAATGGCTTTAATGTCGAGATCGAAGGATTAGCTAATGTGACCGAAAACGGTTGTAGCTTGCCTTTGCCTTTGCTGCTGGGAACAGGGAAGTTTTTTGCTGCAAGTGGACAAAGCAAGGGGACGGCGGGGAGATCCCTGAGAATGGACTGAAGGGCTTAGAGCTCTGACTTATAGATTTGATGGCTTGCAGTTGTGAGGCATTGTGGGGTCTGGAGTGTCATGAGATTGGGCTTCAAACTGCTGTGCTTCAGGCTGACGAGTGCCAGGTATACTGCAAATGGACGAAATCCTGTAGAATCCGAGGTATGTTACGCTGCCATAATCTGAGCCCACATTACCCCAAGAAGAAAAAAGGATCCTTCTTACCTGAATGTAAGGAATCCCATACCCCAAAAAGTATGAAGGATCCCCAACATTGATCCAGTAATTCCAAAGGTTGGGAATTTATTGGAATAC